GAACGTTGAAGCACGCCAGACGGAACGAGGATCGGTGACGAAGGATAGCCATAGGTTGAACTCCTTGGTCTGTGGCGCAACCGGAATCGCAGCCAGCTTGTTGAACACATGAATCGGGTAACGGAAAGTGTGGATTGTTACCAAACAAACAATTGGCGTGTGATGAAGTCGCATGAATGTGAGAAGCAGAAACAGTAGCTAATGAGCACGTTGTAGTACAATGCATGGTTTTGTGAGAGGGCGTGATACAACCCGGTTGCCCAAGCCGAAGTAGGGAGTTGACTTGGGGGACCCCACCATTGGCTAAATAACCTTCTCGCAGGGCAGCGGGATGAATTGAGGGAATCGTGGCCATTGGGATTCGTTCACTGAACGTTGAGTTCATGCCTCTTTTGTTTTGTAGATCACAAAAGGGGGCCAATACTCTCCATGAACTGAACACAATTTCTAGACTACACTGCCCCACGGTGGTGGAACACTGTCGCCGAACACTTTTCTGGAACTTTTCTGCACCCAGCCGGCAAGCCAGCCAATGAACGAGCGGATGCACTTCAAACTAAGGTAAAGCATAAACTTAGCAAGAATAAAACTACGGGTGCAATTCATAAGATCTGCTGCTCGAGCGGTGACAAATACTATGTGGAGCAGACTGGAAGAAAGCTTGGCACTGGGCTACACGAACACAGCCTGGGCTTCCGTCGCCAAGATCTGAACTCCTTGGTATCCGTGCGAAGGGATATCGAGAACAGCCAATTTGACCTGGAGCACACCAACATCCTCGGAAGGGCCACAAGACGGCAAACACGTGAGTTCATTGATGTGGTATTCAAGGCGGAACTCGATCACAAAGTGCTTGGATCTCAATGTCTTACGAGATTCTGGGAACCAGTGCTTTGAAACTTCACTGATGGTTTTGCCTTGTTTGGCAACGAAACGGCTGCGATTTAATCGTTCAGGACGGAGAACAGCACGAAATCCACCTTCGCCTCCTGAGCTACCAGTATTCTCACCTATGTCAGATTAATATGGCTGTTACAAATTACACCTTTTAAACAAGCAGATTAAAACAATGATATCTGATAACATTTCCAAAAATTGCTTGCAGCTGGTAGGTGGCTTATGCACCCATGCCTTTTACTTATTACCCTCAAGCCACGTTATATCTTATATCATCGTGAAAAGTGCGCTGGAAGACAGGTGTGCAAGTTTGATTTATTAAAATAGTAGTGGTTAAACGTCTCACATATCCGGCAGAGCACTGAACGGCCATTTCATCCTTTTGAGAATCGTCAGTAGTGCCCATTCTACCTGCTGCCAGTGAGGTTAGAACCCGAGGCTCTAGGTTTACTCATCTGTGATCACGATAAATTCAGCTAATACCATGTAAATCCCTATTGTGCTACAGAACCGAAAATAGGTAGCTCCGAGTATTCACTTTTAGAGGAACTGTTGACTGAGCTTTGCAACGTTACTGCTACCACATTCTGTTTCACGGTCTCAAAAGCTATGGAAATAAAGGATTCTGTACTTGAGTGGATCCAGATTTTCCCACCGAACCGGAAACTTCGGACTAGCGTTCAGCGCGCGTTGTCCGATTCGATACATGCCGAAGGTGGATATGCAAAGGATTAGTTCTGGGGCCAAGTCTGCTTCTCATGTGCATCAATGAGCTCGCGTATCTAATGGCCTTAGATTTATTGATTTCACTGATGATGCTGTGGCTGATAGTCATCAACCAACGAAATCACGATGCACTCCTTTGAGACATAAACAGGGCTTATGAATGGGCATTCCGCAATCTGCTCCACTTTCGTTCATCTAAGAGTAAGATGGTCCACATTCGTTACCAACCGAATATTAAATTCGAGCTTGGGGACCATGTCCTGAAAGTAGTCACCCAGTAGCACGATCTTGGGCTATTAATCCAGGCTGATCTAGGCTGCGCAGAATAAAACTAAGTGGGCATTGGTATACTGCGGAGGGCACTCGAGCGGGTTGATCCGTCTGTCTGACGGCACCTGCTTAATGCCTACGTGCGGCCTCATGTGAAATAGACAACCCAGGCATTGCAGCGCTCGAGGCTTTATAGCGGAGAGCCACAAATCACGTCGAATTGTCAACTTACGCTGAGGATTCTAAGGTTGCACAGCGGTCTAATAAAAAGCCCAGCACATTTTGAGGAACCAAAACCACGTTTGTTGCTACCTAATGTAACTCAGTCACAACACGAATTTGAGGGACAACCAGCTGAAGTTGGCCACGCAGTACCGTCGACAAGATTGACAGATAGACTGTTACTCTCTGTGCCTGGCAACCAAGAAAAGCGCCCCCAACGTAGGTTGTTTCCGCTCTCAATTTAGATGTGTTTAAAAGATGCCTTGCCGTTTCCCTAACCCACTTACTTTACTAGGTATAGCCTGTGTACATCGTTTGACGACATAATGTGACCAACGTTGCCTAATCATCATTATTCGACATAATCGAGATTGGTCGTGTCATGTTTGCCATTCTGTGAGCATTCTGGTGAGTTCACCAGAGTAAGTTTCATTTTAGCACTATTTACTTTTACCATTTTGTGCATCACATTTTGGTCATCCTACGATACTTGTTAAGCATTTGCTTTGTTACCCGTAATATACCATTGTTCCATTGTTTCAACTGTTTCGTCACCAGTTCAGGTGACCTCAACAGTGCGTTGGTGTGAAGCGGACCAGCGACGCGCCAGTAGGTATGGACTGGGTGAGCGCAAGTTTGCGCTATTTATCTGCCATCGTCATCGATCTTCTGGGCAGTTCGTATTCAGATTGATCGACGGCTAGATGACGGTTGAAAATAGCCTCTAAACCTTGTGACCCTGGCCCAGTTGTCTCCGCTGCTGAAACAGTTGCTTGAGTTGTTCGCACTGTGTGCTCTTCCTTTATGAACATTCTACTGAGTTGGTGGTTTTTGCTTCCAAGCTTGTGCAGATGGCGCCTAATTTAGTGTGTCGATTGATCGAATCTTTTGTGGAGTGCCATACTTTTAAGGATTCCCTTGTTTGCCCACATTTTAGCTCTGTAAAAGTTGCACTAATATCCGATACTCCCATGTACTCTGTTCGCAGGTGCCTAACTTTGGGTTAGACCGCATTAAACTGGATAGCTTCCTAAGTGGACCACGGATCAAACCTTGTCCAGGTTGCTTTGCAGTGCCCTGTGCTGGTCTACTTCCTTGATATCACGTCATATTTTGACATTATCAGAATGGAGTAGAGAATTTGGAGACGAACAGTCCCAAACTTGTTTATGAACTCTTTGAATAATCTTGTTCTTACTGTCAAGGAACAATGGATTTCCATTGGGTTAGATAAGATGAAACAAGCTCACATATTCAGGCGCCATTGGAAGAGGAAGATACATATACAACCCAAGATAGGATCGCCGGTCCCAAAAACTCCGAAACTTGAGAAAACCATTTTGCTGACGGACACTAAAATGCATTCGAGAAAGAAAGCTTGGTGGCACCAACACTTTCCTCATCATTGACTGGTTCGCATTTATTTGCACAAAATAACAGGTTGTCCATAACGCATTGCCGTACTACTCCCGCAATAGGATGTTACATCTTTTCTGGTACCCATAGATGCTCTGCAACTATAGTCTTCACGACCATGCAAAATACTTGGAGATTACTATATGTGTAGCCTGTAGGTACAGCATACGAAACCCTTTGTGTATGGTGATGACCAGTCTATATACCCACATAGTTGAAACCTGTCTCGTCTTGGCATTGTTAAAAAAAACACAACAGTGGGTTAGCTAAGCTCAAGGTATTTACGTTCACTGACTCTGAACGTATGTCATCTGAAACAAGCCAATTAATTTGTGCAGAGGAATCAGCTTCCTCAACTTACCCTCGACTGTGAAGGAGACGTGGCTAGGCTTAATGGTTGTGTGGTTCGTTTGAGAAGAGCCTGAGATAGCAGTGCGTGGTCTGTGAGTGAAATTACCGTTCACATTGAAACATTGCTCTAACCTCTAACTTCGCTATTGTACTGTGATCCAGGCTGTACTGGTGAATCGCATAGAAACGGCCTCCCAGCGGCTGTTTACGCTAACCAGACATCCACAAAGCGTCCGAACCAGAAGCTGCACTATTGAATTGAAGTTAACTGGTGGAATAAACTAGCTAGGAAGCAGTGCAATGTCCCGGTAGAAGAAATGATAAACGGTGTTTTGTGTGACCACGTTATATACTGTATGTTATTTAGGCAAATTAAATATGCTGGATCCATCAGGTATTGTTTTTTCCGGATATTGGTGGTGTCACAAGAGAACCAGAGCGGAGGTTCTGTCCTCCATACCGTATCGAGCCCGATCCGATAATTGTAGGCCTCAGTACAGCATCACGCTATCGGTGATGCAAGTCGACGCGTAACGATGACTTGGATAATGTTTTCATGAGGTAACTAGACTTGTTGGCGGCTGAACCACACCATGGAAGTGTTCTAGGGTCTCATGTGACCACGAACGTAGACACTTTCAAGCAACATCGTGGTAATTTGATGTACACGACTGGTAACACACATGCAAAATTAGCACGTGAATTACAAAGAATACACCTAGTTGGTAGACTCTAAAAACAAAATTATCTCTTCGTTTTCTTTACACTGATCTAATGTGAGAACTTCGTCTTATACAAGAATCAGTCCCAGTTATGCGTTTGCCACACCATCCCACAGTTTGTAAGCTAATTTTTATGTAGATACCAACGCTTTCTCTCTTCGTACAAGTTATAACCATCTAGTGTATGTTGTCACATCAATAATTACTGCGTACATGACAAGTAAAATTTACTCTGGCTGTCGCAAAAAGATCAATGTTAACTCTCAGCTGATGTTTTCTGGCACACAAAAGACCAATATCTGTTGAAATCGCAGAGTTCAAAGTAAGTCAAATTTTAACTAAAATCTTTTCGTTGCTGTAACTGTATAACTAACTGTAAGCTGTCTCATCAAACAGGACGCGGATGCTATGGTTACAATGTCAAAAGTGAAAAATGGTACTCTGGTGGATTCGACGGAAACTCTCAGCCCAGTTGAGACATGGCCTCTCTCAATCCAGAGCATTGTAAAGCCAGCTGAATTCCCTAGAATATTTCTACCGACGACGTTTAACAATCCCAACTTATCCGCAAAGGACGATGAGAGTGAAGCGTGCTTATCAGTTTCTTCATCGCAAGAAGTCAAGGGTGTGGCAGCTACGTAAGTTGGAATTCAATGTGTCCGAGTGCTAAGACATTGCAAATTGTGTGGTGTCCATCTACACACCACTGATGCATTGGCTTACCCCATTTTTCTTTGCGCTATAAAGATGATTGCTGTCACATTTTCCTATAAGCAACCGAAATAATACTGACTGGAAGCCAATACTTTGTGTGTTGGGAGGTTGACCAGACATACCTGACTTCAGATCGTGTGTTTACTCAGTCCGGTTTACTCTGATGCATATCCTGAGACCGTCTCTGACTAGTGACGCATTATTAGCTGCATGTAAACGCAGTTCACCCTCACTCTAGAAATGTTTGTGGTTAGCCAACGAAATTTATGAAGTGTTCAATTCGAAATCGAATAAAGGTTCTAGGGTAAAACATACTTAAGTTGGTAATGTACAAGGACGAAGGCTTGAGTCCTTCTAAGTGAGATTACCCGAGTGTTGGGGCTTGTCTGTTAAATAAACAAATAACTGGCAAAATAACTAGTATACATCTCGAAGACGTGAAAAGCTGTTCCCTGGTAAGGATAGAGAGAAAATTGTGCTTTAACGAGTTCGTGATATGTTGAGTATATGGTACGAAGCAATCCGACTTTTTGATGGTTTTTCAGCCTATCAATGCACCAGTGTCTTTCACAAACACATGGCAGTTGTTTGGGCCTTAGAAAAATAACCTGTATGGAGCTGTGGCTCAAAAGGTGATCTACAAACTCACATTTAGTCTGGATACAAGTGGATGTTTTTGACTCCTCATTTGTCATGGACAACACTTTGGAAAGCATTATCCGCGGATTGCGACGTCCCGGATATATTACCTGCGCTTTGAGCGATCAAATGATTACTGGTCGCAATATTGGAATTAAGAAGTATGCAGCGTGTCCTGTCGTCTCTTGGAAAGCTGTTCCGGTGATGTATAAAAATGTCTGCTTCTAAATGTTGGTTTTTCGAGTACCCACCACATGTCTTGGAACACGACAAGTATCTCTGCTTTCTTTGGTGACGTTCAGAATGGTGACCTTTATTGCCTTTGCATGACTGGTGTCCAGGGTTCAAAGACAAATGGATATGGTTGTCAGCATTCTGCGGATAATGATTCATGATTTGGAAATCAAACTAAAGTTTCATCATCATCTATTGAGACCGGTTCGGGTCAAGTCCAGGCTTGACACAACATTGTTGGTATTTCGTATTTGAGGAACAACCTCATGGAGTTTCGAGATGCGTCGGTGGGCCTTTTTACAAGCATACTGGTTTTACTTAGCAGAGTCGATTGCACCAATAAACAGTATTTCATGTGCTTTGTAGAGTCAGATACGGGATTATTAGGACAAAAATCTCGATATAGGCGTCTGATGGCCTTCACGGCCTTCGAAAATTGGAAGTAACAATGTTTAAAAAACGATTAATGTTAACGAGGTACAGCACGCGAAGCCACAAACTGTCATGTATTACCAGTTGCATTTATCCTGCAGTAATAAGCTGGCTGAGGATACTTAACATTTTAACGATAGACTACATTTGTCCTTAGCAAATGATATCTGCCACAGGTGGCACCAGGATTCTAGTGCTGACAGGTCATCCTGAATGAAATGCATGACCTCCTGGATATCTTTACTTCTTTGTGTGTAAAAGACTGATGTCACTAACGAACCGAAAAGCTTCACCATGTCATATTCTCTGGAATACATGGCTTACACGGATTGGAAAATGGGGTCCAAGTGCACTGTGCTCATTTACCTCACTAATGACGGCTTTTGGCTCAGAGAAGTGGTTTCCGACGTGCACCACCTGCTCTCTACCAACTAGGTATGAGAACAAACAAGGGAACCTTGGCTCAGAAATACCCATAACCTTTAAATTTGTGTAGTTTCCTATGCGGCACTGTTAAAGATATTTTGAATTTCCAAGAACAGTACTGTACCATGGTTTCCATTTTCCATAGCATTCGTTATGCGGCTTAAGTATTCTGACTTGCAAGGAGCGCATGATCGGCGTTGCGAAACACAATAACCGGTTGGTGATATTTTCCTTATGCAAGAAGACAATCAATTCACTTTTAAATATTCTTCACACTACTCTAGATCTATGTGTGTGTGGCTGGTAGGACGAAAATTTTTAACCCCATGAGTGCATGCACTGTTGTGACGTTGGCTAACATCGGAAGTCATCCACTGAAATATTCTGTGTTCCAACGCGCGCGAGACTGTCTGGTGAAGTTACCTATTGGTGCGCCATAATAAATCTTTTGGAATCCATAGCAATTAGTTAAGACCGGTTTCATTTTAAACTACTGAGTGCACACCGTTCGGAAAAAGTTGTTTTCTCACAAAGCTTGTAAACGACAGCAGCCAACCTAGAGAGGATGCAGAGGAGAGAAAGGGGAAGAAACTATATTGGACGTGAGCTAGTGTACAGTACAACAATGTGGTTCTTATTGTGCACTCTTAGGTGAGCACAGAGTGCTAATTTTTCAAAAAGGCGCGTTGGTATATATCCCTGTTCAAGGAAGGACGTATGCTTAAGTTCTGTAGCTGTTTATAAGCGTCATTTGGGGAACGTGTAGCAACGGGTCGGGTGCTATCCTCAGTTCAGTGCCGTACATGAGCAGTAAATAACATTTTCCGCTTTTCCCATCTTACACCCTTTCGGACTTTTACTAGGATTGTTATTTTATAGAGCATTTTCTGCATCCTAATAAAGTTCAACGAGTCCACACTTGGAGGTTGGGTCCTATCCACTGGCTGTTTGCACGGACGGTCCGTATGTTTGTTTGGAAATATAAGAGTTTACGTTCTTTCCAGTTCACGAAAGCTACTTCGATTTTGGTTAGCAAAGCACTAGGTCGTTTTCTGTATGTTGTTTACAGCGCCATCATCATTATCTAACTGCTAAATTTGAATCAATTCACTGTGTACTACCCATTAACCCAAGAAGTATCACCAACTGCCTCTGTCACAGTTTGTCAGTTAACGAAAACGATTTATTAATGACCTTCGGTTTAGTTACTAGTGTAATGAAGTTGATATCATAGAACTACGTCCAAAGTCAGGATTACTGTAAGCCCAAAATGACCGAAATTCCATACATGTAATCCGTTGGGATAATTTTTGTTTCCTTTCTAGTACTTGACGTGCAGACTTCCTGTTGGTTAGCATGGGTTGTCCTCGCCAAATTTGTCAACTCGAATTCGAGCAAGAAACATCAGGGTGAAATTTCAATTCATAAAGTGTTCCTTTCTTCGGAAACAAATATGGTCTTCAGATCGATTTCTTGGAAAGTTTGCTGGCACTTCTTGAATCAATTTGCACTACTGGGCTCATTTAATACTGGCTACATTTATGCACCACGACCTGCAATTCCTCTTTGTTTCGCCTGCAGAAATCTAGCTGTTACGGCGATTTAAACCAATTCAATGTTCGAGTTAATAATTCTCTCACACTCCTTCTATCTTACTTTAGTCAAATAGAATGTGTGAGAAGTTATAGTAAGCTATTATAAATTTCCAAATTAGTCATCTGTTCCTATTCTGTGACTTGTGTAGCGCTTGAAAGGTTTACTATATATATCTCAACAAACTCGTAGGTAGGGTTGAATAATCAAAAAGACAAACTGTGGCGTCAAAGGCGTAGTGCAACAGTGGTTGGTGCACAGCTCAACTATGAAGAGAGTACCTGTTGTGTTCATTCCACGCTGAATAGGATACCGGTGAATTCAAATGGACTGACCAGAATTTGTCCACAATGCTGCGCTACCCTCAGAGCAAGACAGTAGGCTGCTTGCATAAGGGGACTTTTTGAAGTGATTAAGATACTTACAACATCTCACTTCATCTATAGCTGGAATGATTTAATATTTGGTACGTTTTAACCTCACTCGCGTAATTTGACTGTGTTTTTCATACTCCATCAGCTTTTATGTTTAACACACCTTTTACTGAAGAAGAAAGGTTGAACCGTTAGTGTTTTTCTGAAACATCCAGTTTTTATACAAACCCAAACGAAGGATGGAATGTGGCTTCAAGTGGCCTTTCACGTCGTTCCTCGCTTGCTGGACCGTGCCAAACCAGCACAAACGCACTACGAGTGAGTTCCGACAGGCGCCTGTCCACTACTGTCATTGAATTCCAACTGTCAGATAGGTGCTGGGTAATCGGCTAGTTAAATTTTTGAAGGCGAATATTGGGGATACGATGAATGTTCAGATAGGGTTTCAATGCATTGATCAAGTTCTGTCTGTTGTCGCACTCGCGTTAAACAATTGAATGGCACTTCAAATGTCACATCGGTTCCAGTGCATTATCGAATGTTAACCAAACGTTAATAAAGTTAACATTTACCGTGTAATTTCACTCTGAATGTCATTCCGGAGACTACTATGAATTGAGCTAGAAGTTGGGTATACATTATTGCGTTCGCCAGTGACATTCGCATAATTCAACCATGCTCACTCCGAACTTCTCATGAATGCATTCCGCTGAAAACAACTTCGTATTATTTGTTAAATGTTAAATTATGCATTTAATTTTGCACGCGGTCCATAATACTTCTACTGAAGTTAGTCCATGAGTGCCTTGAAAGCTTAACAATACAGATAAATTAGCAGTTTAAATCAAAAGCATTCCATAGATCAAGAAATCTCTAAACTCACCGTCGTTTCTAATACAGGAACAAACCGAACACTAATCTGAATGGCTGACTAGTCCTTAATTCGAGTGCATGATATGAATGCGTAGTTTGCTCAGTTCATACCCATGAGTATGGCCGTTTCACAAGGCGCCTTGGTGTGATATTGGTGTGCAACAGCGCAGCTCATCCGTGGTGACGTCATTCGATTGCTCTCACCAACCAATTTCACGCATTGCCTTGTCTACATCACATAGTTGACATGTAAACAAAATTCTTCCTTCAAGAACCCACCATAGAACCAAGAGAAATAGTGTACTGGCAATATTAGCAACAGCAAATATGTAATTGATGCACGCCTTGTTTCAGGGCTGAAACATCTGGACTGCCAGTAGAGATGGACAAACTTGGCTATGTTGATGGTTGTATGGGGTTTTTAACGTAACAAAATGATTGATACGCGTACATCCCGAGCATATCAGGGTAAAAATTCATCTAAGGATCGATAGCACCATGACCATCCTTTTGATATGCGTGCTATCCAGTCACACAGAATTCCAGTCATTTTGAATTACACAACTCAAAACGTCTGTTTGTAGCTAAGCTTGTTAGTACCGTGGGTTTACTGCAGCTGTCCTTACATTCGCAGCATTTCGGCAATGCGAAGATCTATACCTTTAAGTCGGTACTCCGCAATGCATAAGAGCACTATATCCAAATGTAGAAAGACGTATTACCCACGATGAGGAGTTTAACAAAAATATTTGCCACTTCGTTTCAGCCACCAGTCAGCAGAGCACCAGCGCTTATGAGACAAACGAGATTTCCAAACGGTATCCATAAGTTCGACAGTACAAATGCAGAATCGCATCGATGTCGTAGCGTTCATTTCTCAACCGATGTGCTTGTCGCTCACACAGGACTCGGGCCCGCACCTCTGATGCTTTCGTCTGCGCCATTAAAAGAGGCTGCTCTCCCGCCTTTCGACTGTGCTCACCAATCGGTGGACCCTGAAAGGATATCGTCCCGAAGAGCAAGGCGCTCCAGCTCAGTTTCGATGCTTATTTCGACTAACCCAAACAGCAATTCATTTGACTCACACCGCACATACGTGCCAACTACGGAGCCATGCCTAGTATCACCGCTTTCACCTATCAGAAGGCAGTGACCATCTGAAGACGTCGATGGAGCATATCCCAACGAAGCAGGCGTTTACTTTGATGCATCAAACAAATTGTTCTCACTGGATGAGGTCCATTGGCCACTGCCATCAATTTAACGTTCGCAAAACTTTTACTATAAATGAGTTTACATGCTACATGACATCCACAGAGGCACTTACTCCTTTATGATACAGCGAATTTCATTCTTGTTTTGTTATTTCTCGTTACGCTTCATAATGATCACCTGCTCTTCTCTAGTGAGAGTACCCGATTTCCCATACGGGCTAACCCAGTCACAAGTGGAGATACGAAAACTCCATGTACACAGCTGCACCTTGTATCCGATCTTCTGTAGGGTGATAATAAATGCTAGCGGAACCACCACATAGAACGTACAGGTTTCCATTTGTTTTGCATAGTCCAAATAACAATGACCTAAGTAGATGGAAATTGGGTGTTGCTCACCCGAAAACACTGCACAACCACGACACGTTTCGATGTAATTTCATCTCATCAGGTGGAGACAACAGGCCTGGATCCCGCTACCATTGGAATAGTAGCCCACACCACTACCCCTTTGGCTACCGGGTCACGGTGGTCAATGCTTTTTGGCACAACGGTAACTGACTAATTGGAGGGTCAAGTTTGGATTACACGTTGTGTGATTGGATTGCGACACGCAACCTCAATTTAATGGACTGTGATTCACATTGAAATGAACCTTAGTCACTGCGATCACAGGGACCGAATTCAATTCGGGTGGGCAACACCCACTTTCCATTTACTTTGAATTCGGTCCCCGTGATCGCAGTGACTAAGGTTCATTTCAATGTGAATCACAGTCCATTACATTGAGGTTGCGTGTCGCAATCCAATCACACAACGTGTAGTCCAAACTTGACCCTCCAATTAATGACCTAAGTATATGTGTAGTGGAACCGTGGAATGAATAGACGACTCTGCTAGAAATATCCTTTTGATGAGCTCGCTACTTGAATGGATTACGACAGGCAATCTCGATCAGCCACATGGCGCCTGTGAATGTACATCAATTTGGTCACTGAAGCCGTATAGAAAAGCATATAGACGTTCCATCTCACACATGCCCATAAGAGTACACCAGACGTACGGTTTCCCACCGGTTTGCATTTATTAAGTAGGGACTGTGACACGAATCTGGGACTTTTGAACTACCACTCGGAACCTCTACCAGCAAGTCACCGAGTTGCGGCAGACAAAGGTTATAAAAATGGTTCCGTTGCCGAAGAGTGACAAAGCGAGTTGATGACTGTGCCAAAGGGTTCGAAGGGACCTAATTGGTTGGTGTCCGAAAGCTGTGGAATGTCTGCCAATCCGGGTAACGTAGGGTTGTTGATATGGTCGTGCAAAGTTACATTTGCACCTTTATTCATCTACACAGACACGGACAAAACGAGCTGAATTGGGTCAGTTCGGCATATGTGAACAAATACTTCTAGTACTCAGCCGCTTCTTGTGCTGATGTGCAATCCGAACGGTCTACAGACTTGAAAAGATCAGACATTTTGCCACGGAATCTTACGTTTCCGTCAGCAGGTTCGGCCCAATTACCTCTGTCTATCAGGTAGACAGTGAAAACAGTCACACTGCCCCGTAAATTGAAAGTGCACTACCCCGGTGGACTCACCAAATTCGCAGCCCTGATGGATGTCCGCAACTATGAAAGCATCCTCATGGGAGCTGTTGCGCGGACATAAAACGAGATAGCAGACTGTCACAGCAACACCGACGCAAACATGTCACCCATGAGAAACAGTAGATGCATAAAGCTTTTTAAGTTAGTTGGAACTTTTTTTTCTGAATGCGTTGTGACACATATTGACTGGTTCTCAACCTTAAGGGGAACTCCGGTCATTTCGAATGCTGTGGTGGTAGTTACAACTAATTAAATACACAAATAAACGGACGGTGTATTCCTCGACCATGCGAAGTACAGTCCAACTGAGTGGTCTGATCAATCGGTACAACCAGGCCGCATAAAATAGTCAAGTGTTCATGTGTTATACTATGTATCCCAAATGGGTTTTTGATGGGCTTAGCAGCTTGGAAATAGTAAAGAGATTAAGGAACTGGGAACAATAACAAATGCAGCTTTAACCAAAGATTCCCCTAAACTCATGCGATCATCCATGAAATCGCGTTATACCTCATGTTTTCACACCGCACACTCCAAAACCTATTCTTTGCTTGTTCGGCCTGTTGTCACACAGCAATCTGAACTGCGGTTACAACCCATGAGACGCTGACTGCTGAAAAAGGCATATAAAATGTGAAGGCAGAAAATGCACCCCGGCGCAGTGTCAAGTCAAACAACTGGTTTAGTCTTTGGCTCAAAACCGAGACGAGTTCAGCTGTCCAGCATGAGTAGTTTTAACGGTGATGAAACATGCTATAGCATATAGTGCTACGTGTCAACAACATCTACCTGCGTGTTCTACGGTGTTTCTCGCGTGTGCGTGAATAGTGTCCCCTTTGAGTAAACTAATTGCACTCCGGCAACCCTTCTCCTCCAACGCAGCACCACAATCAAGCGCAGTTGCGGAATACTGGACAGAGGAAGCTTGTGTGATTTCATTATACTGCTGGATATGTTAGAGAAATCCAGTGTCGCAGATGACCACGCTATTTCCTTATAGGAAATTGATTACATAACGTTATGCACTCATCATTGACGTACATTAATTCCTCTTGTCCCCAATGATACCATGGGTTATCGTTAATGTTTTCAAATTCTACTACGCAGCTTTGACAACAGTATGATAGTTTAAGCCGACTTGACCTGGCCCAGCGTTGCAGGTGTACCAGTAAATATTCATTTCATTTTAGGATGTAGTGTTCAAAGAGAAGTATCCTCATCCTTCACTTCACCTGGTCTGGCTCCCCACCTCCGATAGATCCGTAACGATTCAGGATATCTTCTTGGATGAAGGTGTGGCTGCAGCCATATTTTGTATTAGCGTTCTTGGATTGTGTGTTTTTAATAGGAGTTTTGATATATGTATTTCTTGAAGTCTCGAACGAATGTCGTCACAACAACCATGTTCACTGTCGTACTTGAAAGAAGCTACAGACAACATGCAATTAGTCTAAATGGCAGATTAGGGAATGAAATTTAAAGTTCTGGAAAAACTCTGAGGTAGACGCATTGTTACTTCAAAATGTTCGACGCTTGAGACCCGGATGCTCACGTTTTGGTCCCAGAACAGTGCTGGATTGAAGATAATGCACAATTGTGGGAAGAAGAACAAGAGTTAATAGAATCTGTTTAAATTAGAGTGCGGTAATGATACAAGCTGACAGCATAGGGTGAAGGAAGCACATATTTCCATACGTCATCTGTAGTGTGTTGCGGCAAGGTGGCCTATAATGTAACTTCATTGGTGAAGATGTCGTGGGGGATTAATTACCAACGATAGTAGAAGCTTGGCTAATTAAGTGTAGCTAACTTTAGGCATCTTATTGGTTTCTCTATGGATATGAATCTATTCAGGGAGACGGTTGCAGGGCAACAAAACATCTCTAGACAAAGGGGACACATAACAGTATAGACCGGAGACGAGTTGGACGCACTAGACAAAGAGGCTAGGTAGTGGCTCAGCATGACTGGCATACATACTTCGCGACTGCACATCTTCAGTTCACTGGAAGTCGAAATTGAAGTAGGACCTGGAGAGATCAGAAGTACTCATTAGTTCAGTTCGCCAGTGTAGCCATTATTTTGTAGAGTACATGTCAAGCTTTCTCTCTCTCTTATTAAAACTGAAGGAGGAATCGTAACTTTTCGGGTTTTTGATAAGCGCATATTTCCACTGGCACAGCATTGTTTATTGACTTGGGTGAGAGTTGAGATGAGTGAACGGGGCCATGGGGAAAGGAAAGTTAAATCGTTCCTCCTACGTGCTTGTGTTCAAATAAACTCGCAGTAGGCATTCATTACGAGAATAATGTAAAGCAAATACAGCACCATAACTTCCAACACTACCGTAGCGCACGCTCTCATGAAATCTCCGTCAGCTCTCAAACGGAAAATGCAGGTTTGAGACAGGAATGTAAATCTTAGGGGGGAAGTCAATGGTGAAGAAACTCATGTCAACGATGGGTTGCTTACCATTAATTACCCACACCGCGTTCTACATGCTCGCGGTTCTTTTTCAGGTGGATCATTATGCGCCGTTGTAAAATTAAGCATTGAGAAGACATGAGCGGATGTCAAGTGCTTGTTAATAAAGTGACATTAGCAGTACGTTGGTATGGAGCACCGACGCTTCGCTGTTGCGCAATAATCACCAGTCGCGCGTGGGCTAAGGATACTGCGAGGGTTGCCCGGTCCCCTACGGAAGCTCGAACAGGCGATCTCAGTAGTACAAAGCAGGCTTGTAATCCTTAAGGCCACGTCTTTAAATTTCAGTCGGGTACTACTATTTGTAATTCCCCAAACAGAGTATTTCATATCGGTGCATTTGCTGTAAAGTTGTTGGAGCGGAGTTTGAAATCAACCACTGAAATATGGAGTGTCCGCTCACTGCTTTGCATAGTAGGATAATTATCATCCCTAAACTAAATCCTAGATTGAGATAGGAAACTGAAATAGATGCTCAGACTATAATGCAAAAATAAGTTCAATTCGGGTAAGTAGTTTAGGACAGTGCAGCCTTCGTGATAGTTCATACTTGTGGACAAGTTTGCAAATTTCCTTGTAGACGAACTGCGAATACCTGTCAGTGGAAGAAAAGCTATTCTACAGAGACTGTCGTATGCAAGTGTGCAGTATCCCAAACGTGATTGTACTTTGCAACTTGAATATTTTCAAGCCAGATTCGCTTTGAATAACTGCGGGCTGAAAGGGGCTTGCGTGAGCGTTGTTTATTTTAAACACTTGAAAGTCACTAACAATGCCACAGGTGGAAATGCCGGTATTATTAAGAGCTAGGTGGCCGGAAGGAACACCATAGGCATAGCGTAGGAAACAATATCTTTTTGCGGCAAATTACAACTTGCAGGTGACACTCAAATTTTCTAAGAGGGCCAGATCAGATTAGACGTTGGACGGTATTAATACCACGAGCAAAACGGCTTACCAGGCTTCATGTGGTGAAATAATTGATTTACATGAACCCAGAATATATAAAATAGGGCTTATAGCTTTTCCTTGGTCTATTGCATTAGGTTCTTTGGTCAGGATAACTTTTTTTTACACCGATTGTATTTTTCCTGCGCTTTTGGCAGGGTGTTACTTTAATTGAGGATGTATAACACTTTAACAGGAACGGATTATGAGGGAGACGGCGATTTGCGTTTTGGATATCTTGACACATGACAACAAGTGCTTGCCAGCGCTTTCTTCT